GAGAGCGTAAGAAGAGAAACTAGGAGCTGATGAGGCAGAGACTGTGAGCCAGGTGCCAGCATCGGCTATACACTAGAGGTGGGCACTGGGCGGCTACTGCTCAGTTGGAAACTGACTGCACAGATGCTGACTTTGGGTACTTGTTCAGTTATACTTGTATGAAGGAGTCTTGGTATTTCTCCACTTCATCTCAGGACAGAGTGGTTTCCTTGTGTTTTTTCCCTGGATCTCATTCCCTGCTGCCTTTGTCACTGCCTTTTTCTCTGGCTTATGTTTCAGGTGATGACAAGGAGATCTAAGGTTGATGATATCAAGAAAGTACCTTTTAGAAAGTGAAAATGCCTTCTCTCTCTCTACCTCTCTCCTAATCTCTACCACTATCTTAAAGCTTCCTTAAGTTCTTTTGGTTGGAATGACCTTTCCACATATCAGCAGATGACACTGTCTCTCTGGTTCTTTTCTGATCAGGCATGTACTGAGCTGTCAAATTTATGTCATTCCCCTGCACATGATGAAATTTCCTTGACTGCATTCTGCCAGACCTGCTCTCGGTTGTTGGGGGCTCCCACCAATACCATTCTAAAAGCAGGGAAGAAGACTTCCCTGTTGGCACAGTGGATAAGACTCCACCTGCTAAGGCAGGGGACACAGATTCCATCCCTAGTCTAAGATTCCACACGCCAGGGAGCAAAAGCCCATGTGCTGCAACCACTGAAGCCCGTGCTCTGCAACAAGAGAGCAGCCCCCCACTCTCTGCAACTAGAGAAAGCCCGAGTCCAAAGCAGCAAAGACCCAGTACAGCCAAAATAAATGAATAAGTAAATATCCCAAGGACTATGTAGAAAAAAAAAAAGCAGGGAGAAGGGAAATATGGACAGTCACCAACCCTTCTTGTTTTCATCCTATCCACGTTGAGTTGAAAGTGGCTTACAGTTTGATAAACTAATTCTAATTTATAGAATTTGGAACTTTTTGAATTAGGAGAATCACACTACAGTAACAGCCTATTTAAAAAATGACACTAAAACCGAAGTACCTCCTCTAGTCTAGAAATCCCTTAGGCTGCTTCTCCATGGATTGCTGCAGCACTTACAAGTCCTTTTAGGGCAAACATAACCCCCCTGAGGAGGAGATGGCAACCCATTCCAAAATTCTTGCCTGGAGGATTCCCATGGACAGAGGAACCTGGTGGGCTACAGCCCATAGGGTCACAAAGAGTTGGACATGACTAAAGCAACTTAGCACAGCACACACAAAAATGATTAACCCATTCCATCTTTTTTTCACCTTCCAATTCTTTTCTTAATGTTTTCTTTCCCTCCCTGCCTCCCTTCTTTAATTAGAAAGTGACTTGAGGTATCAGTGGGTCACCTCAGTGCTGAGTCGGCAGCAGCGTGACAGTTTCTATTTCCACCTTTTTCTTTCAGCCACACAAGGGCTGCCAAGGAAGTGGCCTTTCTGCAAGTCCTGGCTGCTTCTCCCTGCCTGGTGCTTTTCCTGGCAGGTGGGCCCCAGAAACACTTCCTTTAGGGAAAGGCAAGTGGAACTAGAGAGAGAAGCACTTGGACACTGGCGCTCCCTCTGCCCATCTAGCCCCTTCCTCCCCCCAGCACCACCCTGCCCCACCCTTCAAACAGTAGCTGAGCCCCTCCTGGTGCCAGGCCCAGGAGAGGCAAAAAGGAGGCAACAGTCACACAGAGATGAGAAAACAGTCCTTGTCCCCAAAGCACTGCCCCCGGACCTTACACAAATGATGCTCTCCTTGATTCACAGGGCAAAATATGAGGAAACTGAGTCAGATGACTTCTTGAGAATCCTTTCTGTTTTCATAGCAATGACTTCCAAGAACTGTTCTAGTGGAGAATCTCTGCTCTGGACAATCTCTTTACACCCTAACATGCTTCAAGTCCTTTGCATTCTATCAACTGTTATGTATTCCAAGAATATGAAGGTATTCAAATAAAAAAGTGAATAAATTGTGGTGTCGTTATGATACAGAATATCATATACATTCATTAAAAATGATGCTTCCAGGGGACTTCCCCAGTGGCCCAATGGTTAAGAATCCACCATGCAATGTGGGGGATGCAGGTGTGATCCCTGATCAGGAAACTAGGATCCCAGGAGCCCTCACACTATCCTCAGGTAAGAGTCTGTGCTCTGCCAGGAAAGATCCCCAGTGCTGCAACTAAGACCTAACACAGCCAAAATAAATAAATATTTTAAAAAACAAAAAACAAAATAAGAATGATACTTACAAAAGCTTAATGACATGGAAAAATGGGCCAACTATAACACCTGACACAGGCAGAGAAGAGAGCCTAGAACATTAGGTATTAAGTCATTGAAAGTGATTATCCTTGAGTGGCAGGATAATAAGCATTTAAAACTTCCTACTTTTATTTTTCAAAGTTAAATAACTTTTTTCTATAATAAAAATGAATACGATTACTTAAAAGTATCTAGAAGTGATTGCTTCTGCAGCAAATATTTTCAGTATACATGCCAAGGCCAGATGTGAATACTTTTAAAAATACGCTTTGCCTTGAATTTTCTGAATCTGTCTATAGCACTGATTTTCTTTAATTCTAAGCTACTGTAACTAGTCAAATTCCAGTACCTTTCAGAGGAATGATAATCTCAAAATACTCACTTTGGAAGACTCCAAGGGCATTGAGAAGGAGAAAGGAAGGGCCAGTGAAATTTCTCTAGCTGTCAAATGTGCAGGGTTTTATTTAAGGTCTTGCACTGATAAGCTCAGTTGGTAAAGAATCCGCCTGCAAGGCAGGAGACCCCGGTTCGATTCCTGGGTCAGAAGGATCCACTAGAGAGGGGATAGGCTGGCTACCCACTCAGTATTCTAGGGCTTCCCTTTTGGCTCAGCTGGTAAAGAATCCTCCTGCAATGCAGGAGACCTGGGTTTGATCCCTGGGTTGGGAAGATCCCCTGGAGAAGGGAAAGACTACCCACTTCAGTAATCTGGCCTGGAGAATTCCATAGACTGTATAGTCCATGGGGTCTTAAAGAGTCGGACACGACTGAGTGACTTTCACTCACTGATTAAGAAAGGTGAAAGCACAGGTCATCAAGAGGTTATTTAAGGAAAAGGCTCGGGGTGGGGGAGTCCGACCGCTGACCAGAGATGACTTCACCTTCGGAAACAGGTGCTCAGATACCCTGGCTGGCATATGACTGAGCTATTGAATAACAAACTCGGCAAGGCCACAAATGCCACTTGGTACAAGGAAAACACCTATAAGAGAAGATGCTCCCTCCACGGTAAGGAAGTGGAAAATCCACAAGAAGTAACCAAAATCTGGTTAATGCTTGGTGCAATGAAAGCCCCTCTGCTTCCCTCAGTGGAAGTGGGCAGAGAGAAAAATGCAGAATGGCCAGTAGTGGAGGATGCCTAGAACTCACTCCTGCTTCTGGAAGAGCTGAGAGAGAAGGCGTCTGACCATCTCTGGCTAATTCACTTACAAGTCAGTATTTCCAACTGACTGTGGTGTAACTTGTCAATCAAAATTTTAGAGGCTAAAGCGAAGATTGCACTATTAATTGGGTGCTTGGGACTCCAGAAGGCATGGACAGACTTTCCATGTCTCAGGCACAGCCACTAAGAGATTTTAAAGAGGGAAAAGGCTATGGTTAGCTGGCTCATCTGGCCCATGGAACTAGTAACGAAAGATTTCATGGAGAGCTATGCTCATCAAAGGGTGCTCCTCTGACGATCCGTCTGGTCTCCCCTGGGAGCTTGCTAGAAGCCAACCCAGTCCTGCTGAAGGGACTGTGCTTTTCTTTTTTAATGATTTTTTTTTTTTATGAGGACCATTTTTTAAAGTCTTCATTGAATTTGTTACAATATTGCTTCTGTTTTATGTGTTGGGCTTTTGGCCACAATGCATGTAGGATCTTAGCTCCCATCCGACCAGGGATTGAACCCACACCTCTTGCATTGGAGGGCAAACTCCTAATCACTGGACCACCAGGGAAGTTCCAGGAATGTGTGTTTTATTAATAACAAGGCCCCCAGGTGCTCTACATGTACAGTAAAGTTTAAGGTGTAGTAAATGACAGGTGCAGAACATCTATAAACAGTATTTCAAGCTCTTCTGTATTTTCCTGCTTCCCACCTATTTTCAAATATATAGAAAATAATTTTTTTTATACTGTGGCAAAAAGATTTATCCTCCACTTAAAAATCTCTGTGAGTGTGTTTGTGTGTGTTTGTCCTCAGCTAAGGTACTCAGAAGGAACTTGACATTTATAATTTCCTTTTCAAACCTAGTTAACAAAAGCAGGCATTTTCCAGCAGTCTCAATTTTCTAAATTCCTTATTGCTTCTTGTAATTCTAACCAAATATGATGTTTGAGAGGATGTTATTTACCACGGACTACTAAAATATTTGCTCCTTTTTACATTTTCTGGAAATTTTTTTTTTTCCTTCTTGGCTTATTCTCTTAGGAGATGACTCTCTCCTAAGGTCATCAGGAGAAATTCTGACTTTGAATTTTTAAAATGAGGTTTCTCATTGTGACACAGGGCGGGGTGGTGTTCTGGTTTCTAGGTTGAAAACATGCTGGTAGTGTGCTAAATGTATAATAAAAGTCCTCCTGTGAGAATGTGACTCACTGAGCCATAGAAAGAGTTCAGGTAGCTCAGACCCCACCACCCCCAGTAGGGTTATCTCTGCCCTGAGGGAATTCCTCTTCATAAATGAATGTCCAGCTTCTAGGCCACTGATGATATCACAGATTTGACAGAATCGGGCAAACATGCATATTAATCTACCCTTGACCTAGGAGGGACGAGGTCAGAGTACTTTGAGGACATACTTACACGTGAATTTCAAGTAATATTTAAAGTACTCCTGTGATATTTATTACTGTAAACAAAAAGACGGAAGTGCCCTAAAAATGTTTGGATTAAGCCAAAGGAAAAAGCAGAGTGAATCTAAGACTGGATCTAGGTAGGGCCCTCCTTGAAAGCGCCATCTTACCTGATTGTCGAATCCGTTGAAGAGTTTGCTGCACCAGGACTTCTGACCTTGGGACAATGATGATGAAATCCACTTTGCTGAAGTGGCCAAGGTCCAGGCTCTGGCTGCCGCTGTCCGCAATAGCACACACCTGGGACAAGAGTTTTCTGGCAACTGTGAGCTGCGGCTGATAAATCTGGAAGGTTTCATTCCCTAAATCTAAAATGTGAAAAAGTCATAAGAACACGATTAATTCACTTCTGTGATGGCCTCTATGAATCTATACAGGGACAAGTAATATACCCAGTGTAAAGTGATGCTCTGTCACCAAGAACCTTCACTTCCTACCTTCTCTCTCTATTGACTTTTAACAGATTGCCCACTTTCCCTGACAACTCAGCTGAAAGGATGTGCTCAAAGTGAATGTGACAATTTCACAAATGTATTATTGTAAAATCGATCATCTCACAAAGTACGAGCTCAGCACCCCTCCCTTGCCCAGAAACAAGGCCGACAGACCACATCCTTGCAGCTGGAGCCAGGACTCATCTCTGGAAAGGGGACAAGCTTCCTGGTTTCTTTAGGACTGTCAGCACAGGTCAGGTGTCCGAGCCCAGACCCAGAACAGAGGCAATGCCATAACCATAATCTTGCTGAGTTCCTTTGAGCTTTTCTGGATGGCACTGCAGTAAACACTGTCTCTCCAGCAAGTCAGTTGCAACATGGTTTGAAATTCTCCTCCCCATGACACTAACTTCACCTTTCTTTCCACTTAACTCCACTTTGCCAGTGTGTGTGACCTGGCAGGTCTGGGTGCCCGTGGTCAACTCTGGTGCTGACGCCTGTACTATCTGAAGAGACCTGATTCATGACACATCCAGCTGGCTGCTCAACAGGTGACATACTAGAAAAACATTGCCCAGATACTTTAAACATGCCAGTAGCTTTTTATTACAAGTTACGACCAAGTGATCAATCTCTTATACGTGCGTGTGTTCACACACACACGAGAAATAGGGTTAGTCGGCTAAACACCTGAGCAGGAAACATTAAATGCTTCTTGAAAGGACTGCTTTTTATTAGAAACACATGTGGAAGTCTGAGCGGCACACACAAGGGCCCAATTAACCTGTGCTAATGAATTTTTTTAAAAACCAAGCTGCAATGCAGCCCAGGCAAAGACAGTGGTCACGTGAACACCAGCCACCATGGAACCCTGACAGTGAGTGGGTCTCCCTACTGGCTGAGACAACCCACTAGAAAAGCCCCAAACTGCAACTTTTAAGAACAGCCCACATAGGTTTTGACCCACAAAGGTAATCAATCAAAATAAAAAATCCATCTTTGGATAGTTAGGCTGTTATATTTTTCATTTCACAGGTTAGGCAGCTGGGGACTAAAAGACGAGGCAAAGTTTGTAGGACTGAACTTAGCAAATTTTGAAGTTGGAGGAAAGCTAAAAATATGTTTAAGCAGTGTTTCTTCTCTTTTTCATCATTAAAATCTCTTATTTATTTATTGTGTATTTTAGGCAATGTTTCTTAAACAGGGAATCAAGGGTGTGTATGTGGGAATCTGTAAGTATTCTGAGAATTTTAAAATTCTAACTTGGTTCACATAATACATTTTAGATTATGTGGATGATTACTTTACTGCCATATAATGTCCAGGAGTCAAAAATCTTTATTGCCTTCAAACTCATTTTTATGCCTGGGGTGATGCCAAGCCATGCTCCTTTTCCTATTGTGGTCATCCTAATGCCTCAAGGATGCATTCCCACCAAGTATTAATAGAAGCCAAAAAGCTGTCAGCAGCTGCTCATATGGATCTGTTTCATATCCATCCTTCTGTTCTTTGTTCTGTCCTTTTTGACACTGTCCCTATCAAATAGGGACTTGGGGAAGGAATCTGAACCTAACGGAATCCAACCTAGAGATCCAACTCCTCACCCTGGTCCCACCGTCCCCCTTGGCATCCTGCAAGTCCGCTGTAGGACACATGATGTGTCAGTGTTTCTGCTCCAGCTTCCAGGAAGGCCTCACTAACCCTAAGATTGTGTGCTTGCTAAGTCGCTTCAGTCGTGTCCGACTCTTTGTGACTCTGTGGACCGTAGCCCGCCAGGCTCCTTTGTCCTTGGATTCTCCAGGGAAGAATACTGGAGTGGGTTGCCATGTCCTCCTCCAGGGAATCTTCCCAACCCAGGGATCAAACCTGCACTTCTTATGTCTCCGGCATTGGCAGGCAAGTTCTTTACCACTAGCAGCATCAGGGAAGCCCTGAGATTATGTGTGTTTTACATATTCGAAGGTAAGTGCAGGCAGTGGAGAGCCAGGGGCCCAGGCCAGACTTTTGTCCAGATTCTTTCAGGCAGTTCTCTAAAGCCCTATGTGAGCACCAAGAGCTGGTGGGCCCAGCTGTGGAGCTAAGGAAGGTACACCAAGGACCCCAGAATCTTGTGAGGGAGAAAAAAAGAGAGAGCAGTACTGTTTAAAATAAAATCTTTGGCCTAATTCTAGGTGATATTTACTAAGAACAAAGGCTTCAGACCCAGGCCACAGGGTAAGGCAGAAGGAAATAGCAACCCACTCCACTATTCTTGCCTGGGGAACCCATGGACAGAGGAGCCTGGTGGGCTGCAGTCCATGGGGTCACAAAGAGTCAGACATAACTGAGCACGCATGGTAAAGCGTTTTTAACTTGAGCCAGACGTCTCAAGGAGATAATGAGCAAAGGCCTGTCACAGTCCGTGACCGAAAGACAAGCCCTCAGAACCCTCAGAATGAGTCAGCTTCTATGTCCGTCCTGAGGTGGGGGGGTTCCCTCCTTTTGGCCTGAGGTGACATTACCCAGGTTCTGCGTGGGGATCATAGCAGCGGCCTCCTGAGGCGACACGTATTCGTTCAGGTCTCCGTTGAAAGGGGTCACCACACTATCTCCTCGTCTCTGTTGCATTTTGTCTAGCAGCTTGTCTAGGTCATCACCTGTTGCAAAATGGAGCGGAGATGAGGAAGTCACCAGGAAGGATGTGTTTGTATCAGACTTTGGGCAGCTAGGCTGGGTTTCTATTGAGATCTGCCGGCCATCCTACTTCTCACATCAGAATTCACACTCAGCCACCCCCGTACCAGGATCCCCGGAGCCACAGCTACCCTTGTTTGTATCATGCTTTCAGGGTGCAGGCTCTCACATACTATTGCTAATTCTCTCTCGGCCCCTGTCATATCCAGAGCAGGCAGGATGGGATCACTGCATCTCCATTTGACATATTAGAAAACTGAGGTCCAGAGAGGCCCGGTGTTGCCCAAGGTCACACAACAAAGCAGTGGCTGAGCTGAGGCCTCCCATCCTAGGGCCCACACCCCTCTGCTGTGTCAGGAACAAAATGCTTAGCAGAAACCATTCCACATGAGGGAACATAAGTCATCGAGCTTAAGTTCCACTCTCAGCTCTTGGACAGGCTAAGATTTAGATCCAGAAAATCACACAGCTGGGGACCCAGCAGCGTTGCTGAATCCGACAGCCACTCACCTAACGATGTGGTTTTGAAATGCGATGCCAGGAAACTGACCTTTCCCGTGATGAGTTCATAACTAATTTCTTTCAAAAACTCACTTGTGGTGAGCATGCTCTCTGCCAGAGCCCTGGACTGGTGCTGACCTGCAGAACAGAGGGAGAGACGACGTGCCAGTGGACAAACGCTCACCGGGACATGATTTAAAATAAAACAGCCAGAACTGAAAATGCAACCAGAGTCTGTGCCTAGAGGGACTTGGATAAGGAAAGTCTGGTGCATCCAAAAGTAATGCTGGTGATTACCCAGCATTTGAAAGGATGATTCCAAAACTTCATTTGAAATGAAGTTTAAAATACAAAGTTAGGTTGATTAAGGGAAAAAAATAACATCCTTTATGTGCATAGCAACCCATTCCAGTATTTTTGCCTGGAGAATCCCGTGGACAGAGGAGCCTGGCACACAGGCACACATGTTTGTAACTGGGAAAACATGCCATGGATGTGTTTAAAGACGAAGGGAGGGATGTGAAAAAGCTTAAAAACATTGTCTGCGTGGCTATTATGAATATCAGCCTTAAAAAAATGTAAACTTATGTTGTCTTTTTAACAAATGAAAATTAGAAAAAATGAATGGGTTACACTTTCTGATGAAGCTTGTTGAAAGACACATACATCACAGAGAGATAGGCAGGTGGGTTTCGTCAAAGCAAGGAAGTTTGGCCCCTTTGTTAGGAAGATGTGAGAGCCATTCACAGAGAGAATAAAAGCAAAATTTAGTCCAAATGGCAACTCAGGATGGCATCTGATAGAAAATCAGCACCAGAATAAAAAATGCATTTTGTAATGTACCGACTTTCTGAAACTTTTCTTTACAGTCAGTGGTACAGCATTAAATACCCTCTCAGGCAAAGAGGTGAATCTATGAGTTAAGTTCCTGGCAGATGATGATGAACTGGCTTAGGCCACCTGTGGCAGTGGCTTTATCACATGCTAGAGTGGTAACATTTCCAAAACCTTTTAAGGACAGAAGTGACATGAGACAAGGGTATCTGTTACCAGGATGTGCTTTGAAATAATGCTCCCACCACCAGCTGACAGGGATGCTAGCCAAACTACAGGCTACAAAAAATCTGATCTGAGGAGCAAAGGAAAAGTTAACATTAGGAGGAAGAACCCAAGCTGAGGCCCTTGATCAGAGATTAATGGCATGGATTCCTGAAACACTCAGTAAATAGTTTTCAAATGGACAGATGATTGAATGAATAGATTTTAAAAATTACTCACCTAATACGACCACACAAAACTCATTTCCTCTGATTTTCGAAGCACAAATGGTTACCACATAATCCGGTAGTTTTTGATAGTGCCTCATTTCACTGAGCGTCCTCAAAGTCTCTGAAATGCCCTCTGCCAGAGAGTTCTGGGTCACAATCACATGAACCAAGTCTTGAGACACGCTGGCAATTAATCTAGCCAGCCAGGGGAGTTGTCCTGGTGACACTGATGTGCACTGAGCACCCATCTGCAGGGCTCGCTCTCTCAGAGTAAATTCCTGCATAGCTTTCAGCATAATTTGTTCAAATTCTTCCCTGAGAGGTATCTGATCAGGACCTAAATTGAAGAGAATTACAGCTAGAATTTTTTTTTTAAGATCACAGCTAGAAAAGAGAGACATGCACATACACACACAAATACACCAGTATGCTGTGTATTCTGGCTGGCAAGTAAGCTCTTTTTCCTGTAGTGGCCTTAAGTATAGTACATCTACTAATCATTTTTGTGAAACTACCTTCTCTTCTCTGTCTGCCTCAGTATATATTTTTACAATGCAGACTTCTGTTCCTGTTATCTTTAAAAAAAAAGATGTGTTCAGAGAGTATCAATTCTACTGTACGCCTTGGGAGATGGTCACTGACGGTGGTAATTTTAAAAATAATATCAGAAATATTATTATATAATATGTTATTGTTGTTGAGTTGCTATGTTGTGTTCTACTCTTTGCAACCCCATAGATTGCAGGACACTGAAGGTAGTGTTTTTGTTGACATATTAAACTTGGCATTATGGAAATAGTTAATGACTAATGAAGCAAGAAGCGAACCCACTAGTGTGTATAATCAGCTTCAGGCTTCACACAGTTCTCATTTTATTCATAAATACTTTAGAAAAACATTTTCATGTATAGCTTCTGTGCCAAATTTTGATAATACTGTCCACAAGAAAAAGTAAGTTATTTTTCACTCCTAATTTATATTTAGGCAGTTTCACACTTTCCCCAGATAGAGATGCTCTCATCAGTGAGTTATGTCACAGAGTTCTGGGGTAAAGATGGCCTTTGGCCCTCCTCTCTGACTGTGGTTATGGCTAAGCTTTCACATTTGATCCATCCACCCTGGAATTAGGGGTATTTTGTTTCTCTTTAGAAACTCAACCAGGCTTTAGGACAAAATAAGCAAGTCAATGTCTGGCATCCAAGTGACACAAATCTTACACTTAAGTTGAAACTGTAGGACTGTGTTCACTGCTGCTACGCAAAACCCCTTCTTCTGTGCAGAACTGAGCTTTGAAACTCAGGCTTCTAAAACAGATCTAGAACCCCTCAGTGTCTGTAATCTGAGATCGAGCTATTGCCTTGGAATCCAAAGTCAAACGACACTTGCAGAAGAAAACAGGGACGAGGGACCTGACTCCTGTATGGGAAGGAGGCACCTGAATGAATCAGAAATCTCTCCTTCCTTGAACAGGGATTTTTTTTTTTTTCCTTTAACAGGGATTTAAGTGGCCTCCCTGACCCTGCCCGTCATCTCTGGGCAAGTAAGAAAGTGAAAGTTTAATAATGTTTAGGACAAGCAAAATTAAATAAAATGTTATAGTTTTTTTCTTTTTAAATATGTTTTAAAAATAAACAATTTTGGATAACCACAAGTACACCTATTGTCTAGCACAGCGAACTCTGCTCAATGTTATACAACAGCCTGGATGGGAGGGGAGTTTGGATGCATGTATTATGTATGGCCGAGTCCCTTTGCTGTCCATCATGTGATAATGCTGTGAGACTGTCACAACATTGTTAGTTGGCTATATCCCAATACAAAATAAAAAGCTAACAAAAAACAATTTTAATTTGGAAAACAAAAACCCAGTTTTTTCCAGGATTGGCTGGAGCCAGAGGGAAGTAAAAGAGTGACGTCCTCACAGATTTTCCCCTTCTGTATATAGAAAGAGGGTGAAGAACTGGCAGTGCTTACACTGGCTTTGTGTTTCTGTGTCTTCCCCAATTCTTTACTAGGGGAGACCTTTCTTACCACCTGGGAACCACCAAAGTTTCTGGTCTTCATTTAACTTTACCGAACTAGCACCATGGTTCCCGGCCATTAAGTACACACTTAGTGAGCTCTAAGTGCATACAATTGTATTGACTGTATGAGGAGAAGGGAAGGTGGTCGTCTGTTTAAGATTTCTCCCATCAGAACAAACCACAGCTCAAAAGGCATGTGGCTCTGCCTGCCTCCAGGTGCCTCCTGCTTCTCATAGGCCATCTGAGGAGGCTGGTGAACAGGTATGTCGAAGGACCCACTCCGAACTACAATGGAGTTAACATGTTCTATTAGGCAGCATCATTAATCCCAAACACAATGGCATTCTGGGAAAATAAAATCTCAAACACATTCATGGCATTCTTGGTTGCCTTAAAATTCACTTCTATAGAGTTTTGATGGAATTACTGTTGATGGAATTGAGAAATGGAGGAAAAAGTATTAAAGTTTAAATGAAGTAAGAGACTTTTTTTTAGAGTAAATTGCCTTGTTTCCAATCACCTCCCGTCATTTCTTCATCCTTAGCCTTTATGGCTAAATTGCAGGAGCCTTTTTTCCACTTGATTATGGTCATTTTTCCCCCTTCAAGTACTGATCTCCAGTTACTCAGCCCAGACAACAGGGCTGAAGGCTTTTCAGCTAAAGCTGCCATAATAGGACAGAACAAGGTTCCAACCGACTCAGGGTCCTCCAAGGCTCTGGATTTTCTGATTTCATCATCTACTTCAAAAGACTTTCAAATTGTGAAATAACTGAGACTTATTTTTTTAAAAAGTGACTGTAGTGGAAGGATCTATTCCTTCTGAAAAATCTTGCTTTTCTTCTTCTCTGTTAACTTCAGGTAACTGACCCATCTGAGTATTAGCCCTGTCCTCTTAGGAGTCTGGATTTATTTTTTTGGATGTCTATGTATAATCTATACAATATGTAAAAATATTCTTGCTGCCTTCTTTGAAACTTCTGAAGGCAAAAAAAAAAAAATTAAGGACTCCAGAAGAGTTAGTTGAGAAGTGATATCTCAATGTTTAAAATCTACATTAAGAAAAAGAAACAGCTATTTATTTTGGACATTGAGAAACATAATTAATTGGTGGCAAGTAAAACTCTGGAGAGAATTGATCCTGAAGGGCAGAGAAGAGTTTTGTCTAATAAAGAGTGTTCTATTTTTTAAGAAAAGAGCTTTTAGTAATTTAAGGGAAGATGTTTTGTTTTGACCATGTAGTTCATTTAATTAACTTGGACTATGACTACTGAAATTGTTACTGAGATTGAAAAAAATGCTATATTGATATGTTTGGTTTACCATAATAGCATTAATTCATGTGGCCTTGTCTTACTGATCCTGGAAGCATCTTGAAGCTGCTTTTTCATCCTGAAATATGGTTGAAAATCAGTATGTATCAATAAAAATTATGACATCAAATGTCAGACCCAGGAGATTTTTTATAATTTTGCTACCTGCTAATAAAAATGATCAGCAAGTCCCAGATTTATCATGAAAGTGGCTCATGAAATACCTGAAGCTTTACCAAATTTCAAAAGCCCATGTCAGGGCAGATCCTATGTCAAGGCTCTTGGGGTACTAAGAGGTGTAGCCAAGACTACAAGCTGATGCTCCAAAGGCTGAAGGTGAAGTGTGTGTGTGTGGGTGTGTAACATTGTTTACCATTGTTTAACATGTTTAACATTGTGTAACACTGTTTAACATGTCTTTTTATCACTTAACACCAAAGTACTTCAAAACATTAAAAAGAATTCACAAGAGTACAGATAACATTTTTAATCTGTAACTTTACACCTCAAACATTTTTCCTAAGTAAATCAGTGGTTTGAAGTCATGGAAAGAGTGTATAATTAGGCTGCATATTAGATGGCCCACTGCAGTTTGCAAAATAAAGGACATTGCAATGTAAATGCTGTGGAGCCACGGCAGTATTGTCAGGGCGCATGCATACACCCACTATGGGGCTCAGGAGGAGATACCAAACAGAGGAAGTGAAGGGTTCATGACCTACGTATCCCTTTACCCTAAAGCCCAGAAGACCTTCCAGGGAGTTCCAAGATACTACCTCAAGGAAGGGAAGCGGTCTGGGACCACATCAAAGGGATGAAGCTAGAGAAGAAAAAAAAGAAATGGGTGTAGGGACAGAGGATGAACAAAATAAAAAGGTGGAAAATCAGAAAATAACTGCCTAAGGCAATGGCCCCATTTGCATTCCAGATGGGCGCTGCACTTTCAGAAAGGTGGCTTGGCCTGAGTCCCCAAGGGCAGTACCCATGGCACAGCTCTCGGACAGTCTGCCATCAGCTGCTTTGGAGACCTTAGATCAACATGGGACTGGACACTAGGTGGAGCAATTTATCTCTTCTAGAACCCGAAGAAGCAAAGCGAGGAGCAAGGAAGGCTAGGTCTGAGAAATGAGGAGAAAAAAAAGTAGGAAAGGGAAGGATATGAATAGGAAAGAAATGGAGGAAAGGACAAGGAAAAGGCATAGTGAGTGAGGTTGAAGAAAAAGAATGTTAGAAGCGAAAAAGGAGAAGGAAGAAGTGGATAAATGTGAGAAAGTAGGTAAGAAAGGAAAAAAACTATGTTACAAAACAGAATAAAAATCATCACCATCAAACGATTATTGGAAATAGCTTACCCAGCCGTACGAGATACTGTATTGTCAGAAGAATCATGTTTTCCACGCTCAGGAGTTGGCTGCCGGTCAACCCTAATTGTTCCAGATCCTTGTTTTCCAACTGCGGAATTTTGTAGCAGTTCACCAGCAGAGGGCTGACAGCAATATCACCAACATTTCCATAGAAATAGGGTAAAGTGCCATAGCCTGCCCGACAGAAGCGGGTCAAGAAAGTTTAACGTTTCCTCCTGAGGTCCAACCAGGTATATCTGTTCAACTAGGATCAATGACGCCTGCCAAAGCTCCCTGCCCTCTGAATGGCTACCAAACAAATCACTCATCAATCCTAGAGAATTCACTCCAATGCTCTAAATTCTACCCTTGTATTAAATTAGATGAACAGGAAACAAAATACTCATATTATATAGGGACATGCTAATTAATCTCTCTGCCATAGAGGATTGATGAAAGTTTGCAAAAAACATCTCTGTATCCTTTGTAAACCTGCAGGAATAAAATATTTTCAGATAAAATTCCTGATCAGATAAGTCAGAGAACAGACAGACTACCATAACATGCTTACTTCACTTCTTGAGGTTTTCTTTTAAAAAGTTTAAGCTAAACTCATAGATCAACAGCAATATTCTGCCAGTCACAAGTATTAATACTCAGAGGGTCTTACTCTTTGCTATCTTAGCTATTTTTGTTATGTTCTCTTTCTGAATGTCAATAAAAGTCTCAAATCATCTTAGAAGTAGATAGGACAAAATGTGTTGAAAATACACACTGTGTTGATGGTCTGGTGGAGAGAATATTCCCTCCATGAGTCTTTCGAAAAGGCAGACGCCAAAGAGTCCTAGTTTTACTTATCCTTCCAAGGCTTAGCTGCACCATGCATGTAACTCAAATGTGCAGTAAGCACTTCCTAACTATATGGAATGTGAACAACTGGATTTCCCCCAGTGCCTGTAGGTCCAGGGGCCAGCCTGATAAAGAACAGGGCTCAAAGCAAAACCATCCATGTCAGTTGGCTCAAGCCAACTGCAAGAAACAGATAACACCTCACATAGACATACCATAAAAGCCCACTGGGCTTAAACACCCTATCTGTTTAGTCCCAGGGGTAAAGTCAGCAGTCTTCTTCTGGCCTCGGCTAGCCACCGCCCCCACTGCCCCGCCCCAGGCAACGAGGGGACTCTTGATGTGGGTATGAAAGGCACCTCCACTTATCGAGAGCTTAGAAAGGCTCTCACTCCTACAACTTCCCATGGTTGAGCTCTGCGGCTCTGGGGCCTCTTGGTCCTCCTCACAGGGGCCTCTTCGCCAGCTCAGCTTGCTCCTTTTCTCCGCAGACTGGCTCCCTTTGCCTGAAATGAGCCCCCCTCAGCTTTGTCCGCTCTCACCCACCCTTCACTTCCCCAGCTGAAAGGTGACCTCTGAGAAGTCTGCTCAGACCCCTCCAAGCAGAGTTACGCTCCCTCTCCTCTGAGCTCTTGGGAGTTCTTGGCTGTGAACTCTAGACTCCTCCCACTAAACAGTGCTCTTTGTGGGCAGAAAGACTGCCTTCTTCCTAACTTCTAGTCCCTTGTTTAGTATAGCTTGAAAGAGCTGATCAATAAAAGCTGAAACAATTAATAGAGGCATCAATGAATACATTCATGAATACATGAATGAAGACACATCGAAATGGAGGCGTGCTTCCAGATTCCAGAGGACACAGGCAACTTGGAATTCCTTTCCTTACCTATCAGGATAACTGGTCTAACTCCTGAGTTACTCAGCAGATTTTCAGGAACAATTACAGTTTCCCCTGCAGGAATGGGTCGAGGTTGTAAAATTCCAGTTAATGGGGTCTGTGGAACTGGGGTAGATAAAAGGGACTCTGGAAAAAAAAGTTGTTTGACAAGAAGGATTAGATAGGAAGGCTAAATGAAATACAGTTGAAATCAACACAGTGTGACTACCTTTAATATGAATGTTTTATAGGCCTAATGGCTGTTTTATTAAAGATATTCATGCTTACTGTATAAAATAAGAAGTAAGAGGAACAAACAAATATATCAACCAATATCAGATCATCTGGAGATAGCTACTGTTTAACATTTTGGCAGTTTTTCCTTTTAGTTGTTTCCCCATATATGGTATTTTGGATTCTGTTTCGTATTTTATCTCTTCCTGCCCTAGATTATCAAGGCATATCTAGTCATTACAGAAAATGTGAAAAGTATTGAAAAATAAGAATAGGGATAAATTCATCATTAGTCAGTATACCTAGAGGCAATCACAGTACCATGTTGGCATAATTCTTTTTGTATGTATCATTTCTACATAGTCTTTAGAATTACTTTCTAAACAAATTTTTAAATAACCCTATGTCCTAGAATTGGTATGTTTACATTTGTCTGTGTTTTATACAGCAAGGTAGATGGGCATTTGAACATTTTAACTGGAGGCATCAAATGGCCACAGTTGGGTATTATAAGAAGAGGAACAAACAAATATATCAACCAATATCAGATCATCTGGAGATAGCTACTGTTTAACATTTTGGCAGTTTTTCCTTTTAGTTGTTTCCCCATATATGGTATTTTGGATTCTGTTTCGTATTTTATCTCTTCCTGCCCTAGATTATCAAGGCATATCTAGTCATTACAGAAAATGTGAAAAGTATAGAAAAATGAGAATAGGGATAAATTCATCATTAGTCAGGATACCTAGAGGCAATCACAGTACCATGCTGGCATAATTCTTTTTGTATGTATCATTTCTACATAGTCTTTAGAATTACTTTTTAAACAAATTTTTAAATAACCCTATGTCCTAGAATTGGTATGTTTACATTTGTCTGTGTTTTATACAGCAAGGTAGATGGGCATTTGAACATTTTAACTGGAGGCATCAAATGGCCACAGTTGGGTATTATAAGGGAGAATCAGTTGGATTTCAGGCTTCTAGTCACAGACTGAACCATTCAATTCAGAAATAGTCAGTATAGGTCATTTAAGGGACCAGATCACAGGAGAAGACATCTAACACCACTGCTGGCAGTGCAAGTTCAGTCATGCTCTGTGACGGTGGACTGGTAGCATCATGCCCTCTGTAAAGAATGGTTTGTGGATACTATGGGATACAACAAAGCCAGATGGTAACTCAAGGTCTTTCATGATGGCACATGTGCTTGTTTGGATGGCAGATATGATGGGGACAAAATATCAGCTGCCAGAATGCTGGATGCAATAGTTGGTAAAGGAAGTTTATCTTCAAGGGTTCATGGAAAGAACAAGATGAGGAGATACCTCTGCTAATTTAAGGAAACTTAAAACCCATCTTCTGTTGAAATCTTACCAGTTCTTGAAAGAGGGCGAACTGTAGGAATAGGCACAACTAAACCAGGCTGGGGGATGGGTGACCCAGGATACCATCCCCGGTGTCGCTTCTTTGGTGGCCCAGAAATGAACATGGTAGCTGAACACAAAAAGAAAGATGAGGCTTGTCCTTAGTGATGGAAGAAAGAAAGAAGTCAAAGTAACACAGGACCTTTACTGATTATACTCAGAAAGTCGAAGTCACTTTTCTAGAGGTAAAGATAAAATTAGAAAAAGTCACATACTAACAATACCATCTAACAACTGCAGGCTGTTTTATGATGGACCGTTTTACCCAAATTATTTCACCTGATTCTACCAATAACTCCATGAAGTCGTAGGATAACTACACTGTTATACCCATTTCACAGTGAGCGAAAGGCTCACATTTACCCAGGGTCACACAGCAAAGATGAACTTTGAACCCTGTACTTTGGTCATCAAAGCCCATGACTTTTAAAGATACACCTTATAATATTTGCTTCAATGTTATTTCCTAGGTAGGCCCATCCTTGTAGAATTACCAAGACACGCAACTGTAATTGTTCATACTAATCATAAACTTTCAAAGTATTGCATGAGAAGCTAAGGAAAAATTGGGAGTGCCCTGCCAGACAGTTCATCATCATTCCAAACTCTTTGGAGCACTTCTTCCATAACTGAGTTGCATTATGTCAAAACTCTAAGATGGGCACTGTACCTTGGTCTCCCGAGGCGAAGCTAGGTCTTGGTGACAAGGAATAATTCCCTGGGCGGGCGGGCGTGGAGCCAGACGCACTGCTCTTCCCTCCATGGCTGCTGTTTCCATTAGCAGCATCTGTGGCACAAAAGAGGAGCCACTCAGAAGAGAGTCTGGGCAGGACACTGCTCTCTGCGACGCTGCAACCGTACAACAAGCCACCCAGCCTAGGACTCAAAGACTTCCCACTGACCGGACAGCTCAGCTGTGCAAAGCCAACTGCAACCATCAGAGTAGTTCCTTCCGTAACGTGAAATATCACCCCAAATAATTTTCCAGAACCCTAAACCATCTTATTTATTTATTTATTTTTTTGGCTGTGGGGCATGCAGGATCTTAGTTCCCCAACCAGGGATGGAACCCATGCCCCCTGCAGTAGAAGCACCGAGTCTTAACCACTGAACCGCCAGAGAAGTCCCCCCAAGAGATCTTTTAGAATCATTTTCAGTGACGTCTTTGGAGACAACTTTTTTACATTAACTTTTATTAGAGTATAATTGCTCTACAATGTTATGCTAGTTTCTACTGTTCAGGCGATAAATATGTATACATATATCCTCTCTGTTTTGGATTGCCTTCCCATTTAGGTCTACACAGAGCCTTGAGAAGAGTCCCCTATATGGGTTTTCATTAGTCATCTATTTTGTACATAGTATCAATAGTGCATATGTCAGTCCCAACCTTGCAATTCCACCCACTCCCTTCTTTTTCCTTTCTTGCAATTAGTTTGCTGAAAACATAGCAGAATTCCTCATTTTCTGTATTTTGCTGACTAGATATCCATGGTGTAATTTGATGTCTCCTCTAATTCCTGAACTAATCATCAGATATAGATGCTTGCTCAGATTTACTTGATTTTTCTTTTTTTTCTGCCAAGAATACCTCCTAAATCTTGTATACTTTGGTTAAGAAAGGCACATAATAGCTGGCTTGTTCACTTCTTGTGACACTAAGATTCATCAATGGGTTTAAGAGTTGTTAGCCTAATCCTCAAGTTATAAGTTGTATATCAGTCTTTCATGTGATAGTTTTAGCAACCATGATGATTACTGCCAAGATCCATAATTTCATTAATATTTCCTTTAGCTGTAAAAACTTGGATTCAATTTTGTTCCAGTCTATAATCTAACCAGAAGACAGATTCTGTAAGAATTGTTGGACCAAAGTAAGAACAAAAGTGGTCTGGATAAATTATGATGCCTTACTCTTGGAAAGTTGCCAACAATAATTGGTTCTCTTTCTCCTCATTTTTCTTCTACCTCTCTGACCATTTCTTTTGGTTAAACACTGCCATTTTCTAGGGTTCTACCTTTAGTTCACAGCTTGCCTTACTCTACATTTCTCCTTGATTGATATCATTTACCATGGCATGCTGGTGGGTCAGCTTTATACCATTAGTCCTGCTTTCTCTCTATGACAAATTAAATTACTGTTGAGTGGCTCCATTTGATGCCTCATCGTCATTCCAAACTCAATATGTCCTAAATTGAACTCGTCATCTCCTGGGGAGACTGCTACCCCTCCTGTATTCCCAATGTCAAGTAATATAACCAACCATTAGCCAAGAAAGATGGACGTCAACCGAGACCCCTTCTTCCACTTCACGCTCCCATTAATCAGTTGAGTCTGCTCATTTCACATCCTGAGTAGTTCTCCAATCTATCTCCTCCTCCCCTACCTATTTTCACCCTGGTCAAAGACCTCATCATTTCTCACCCAGACTACTGAAAGACCTGCAACTTATATTTTCATCTCTTTTTGCGGCCCAAATGATCTAGCTAAGTTAAAAGAAGACTATGTCACTCCCCTGTGCCATAAGTTACAGAGCAAAATCCATGCTTCTGAGTATGAGTTAATATGACCTTTCCCTTGTCTGAAAGTGAAATTGCTCAGTCACGTCCAACTCTTTGTGACCCCGTGGACTGTAGCCTGCCAGGCTCCTCCATCCATGGGATTTTCCAGGCAAGAATACTGGAGTGAGTTGCCATTTCCTTCTCCAGGGGATCTTCCCAACCCAGGGATTGAACCTGGGTCTCCCACATTGCAGGCAGACTCTACCGTCTGAGCCACAAGGGAAACGTCCCTTGTCTGCATCGTGCTTACTTCCTGCTACTCCCTGAGTTTTATATTGTATGTTTTTAACAAGTCCCGCCTGCCAGAAGTTCCTGCACGTGTCATGTCATAATGCTTCTCTCCTTTTCCTTTCAAGCTTTGCTCCTGCTTTCCCCTGAATATGAAATGTCTTTCCCCTACTCCTCTATGCAGTGAACATCTCCTCATAGCTCAAGACTGCACTCCTCTAAGAACTCATTCTTAATTTCTCCCTAAAAGGCTGGGCTAAACACCCCTCCTCTAGGAGGTGCTCCCTCAGAATATTATGTATTTACTGTGACCCTATGGACTCTAGCCCGCCAGGCTCCTCTGGCCATGGGATTCTCCAAGCAAGAATACTGGAGTAGGTTGCCAGGCTCTTCTTCAGGGGATCTTCCCAACCAGGGATCGAATCCATGTCTCATTATGTCTCCTGCATTACAGCTGGGTTCTTTACCACAAGCACCACCCGGGAAGCCCTGTATTTACTGCAGTATACTGAAAATATCTCACAGGTCAATCTCCTCTGCAAGGTTACAAGCACATTAGAGGTCAGGGACTGAGCATTATTTATCTTAGTATTCCCAGTTCCTCATCATAGCAGGTACCCAAGAAATGTATATTGAACGGAATCAATCTGTTTTGTCTCCCCTGTGTGCCAAATGTCCACTGACTCTTTCGGATCTAACAGAGAAAATGCAAAGCTTTGCATAATAATGCGTTATTGTAGATAGCCCCATTTTTGCCTGTAGCTGGCAAAGAAGGAGCTTCTGTTTTCTTCTACCAAACTGCTAATTAAACTTCTCACAAGTCTTTTGTAGACTATGTATTCACCAAAGAGATATAAGTGAGGAAAACATCACCTGCAGCAAAAGTCTTCCCTACAACCTGCAAAGACAAAGCCAGTGGCTTCACAACATTCCGGGTCAGGTCCTGAGCTCCACTTAAATTGATTGCAGAATTAGCTGGACTGAGAACCGGTGAATCTTTAAAATGAAAGAGGTTGTTTAAATTAGAAACTAGTAATATACGCAGGAAGGAAGTTAATTCAACACGAGTGAGTTGAGAGAGTAGACTAGAATTACAGTTTCCCCCTTGATCTATTTTTAAAAAGCCCATTTCACTGTACATCAGTTTTATTTTCTTTTTATGTATTTAACAAATAGTCACTAACAGGTACAGTGTGCTGGGTGATAGCCTAAGCACTTTAAATATATCAATTCACCTAATTCCTATATGAACTCAATGAGGCTGTTACTATTACTTTAGATAGTGGTAGCCATTTAATTTGGCCAACATCACATGATGTGGCATTGAAGATATGATCACGTGCCATACTAAAACTGTCTCTACAGTTTTCCTCAAAGTCATATTTTTATGAGATATATTTATCTCTATCCAGATAAGTTTTTCATTTAAAAAGTATTATGCAAGCGAAATCATTGTAATGTTGGAAAAACAACTTGCCTTTGAAGAAAAGTTGTGTTAATATTTGGAAATAAACTAGAATTTCTATCTATGTAATATCAGGGACATCCAAAAAAAAAATCCCTATTTGGATTCACAAAATAATTCAGCACAGAAAAATCAAATGCCATTTCAGAGGCAGGCTATGTGAGAGATAAAGACTCCAGACAACTGGAGTTTTCTGAAATGAATATAACAGACCCCAAGTCCCTGACTCTATGGGCCTCCCCAGTAGCTCAACGTGTAAAGGAAAAAAAAGTGAAAGTGTTATTCGCTCAGTCATGTATTCGCTCAGTCATGTATTCGCTCAATCATGTCCGACTCTTTGTGACCCCATGCACTGAAGCCTTTCCAGGCTCCTCTGTCCATGGAATTCTCCAAGAAAGAATACTGGAGTGGGTTGCCATTCCCTTCTCCAAGAGATCTTCCTGACCCAGAGATCAAACCCAAGTCTTTTGCTTGGCAGGCAGACTCTTCACCATCTGAGCCATGAGGGACCTGCAGTGCAGTAGACATAAGAGACACGGGTTCGATCCCTGGGTCGGGAAGATCTCCTGAAGGAGGAAATGTCAACTCACTCTGGTATTCTTGCCTGTAAAATCCCATGGACAGAGGAGCCTGGTGGACTATAGCCTATAGGGTTGCAAAGAACTAGACACAATTGAGCAACTAAGTGGGAGTGTGAAGTCCCTGACTACACCAACAGAACAGGGTAATCAGGTAACACAGGAATGTGTCAAAGGAACTACTAAAACTCTGAGAGTTTAAAAAACAAAGTGTTCTGAAGAGCAGGATTCTGACGATGCCATCTTAGAAATTTTCTAAAAAATTAATGCTCATACCACAATGTGATTCCCGATACATCTAACCAGTGCTTCTCATAAGAACTCAAAAGACCAAAATGGTCCCCTATTGGTTCAGGAGAATTCATATTCCTCTCTGCAGGTCTAACTTACACCAGGGAGTGATTTTAATGTCTACAGGAAGAATAGAAGCCAGCAACTGCACACACAACATTATAAAGTCTCAGGAAACTGAAGACAGCCCAAGTTTTTCAGGTATTAACAGAGAACCATTCAGGACAGGAGTCCCAGGTAACTATGCCATGTCACTACACAGGTTGGTCATTATGTTCCAGGCCACAGATATATTGTTTGGTGCAAGACGGGTTGTTTACTATAGCAGTTTATACTTATTTCTAACAGTCCAGGTAAGCACACAGGTGAAATCTGGTTAATAAATTTTAAGTGGTGGTAATTTTTTCAAATCAGTGAATTCAGATAAGCACAGACCAACAGGTACAAAATGAATGTACAGAAATATGCACAAAAATAAAGAAACTGACTAATAAAAACTCTTCCTTACACCATATACAGAAATTAACCAGAAATGGATTATAGATCTAAATGTAAGATAAGAGCTAAAACTATAACACTCTTAGAAGAAAACACAGGAGTAAATATTCATGGTCTTGGCTTAGGCAGTCATTTTTAGATGTGACACCAAAAGTACAAGCAACA